GTTTGTTTGAAAGTATCTCCAGAACGGCTGAACAGATCTCGATGAATTTTGGCATACATATAGAATGTGTGTGGCAGAATACATAGACTTGTTTTAATTCCACGAGAACGGAGTCGCAATAAATATTTCGCACTTTCGGTGTAAATACTAATGTGTCTTATATGTGTTTCAGAATCTGGTGGATGTTGAAACAATGGTGTTAGAACTACGCCTTGACCACAATCATATTTCAAATCTAGATGGAGCATTAATGGGTGTGCACGGTCTACTGCGACTTAACTTAAGTAATAATCAAATTAACCAGATTTCAGCGGACGATCTACTCGGCTTGGAAGATTTAAAACTCCTAGATGTATCACACAATCAAATAACATCACTTGAAGAAACATCAAAGGTTTGTCTATCTAGGGTTTGGAGTAAATTTAATTGTAGCTTGCGAGCTATTGCGATTTTTTTTATAATAAAATGTTGTGTTACTGAAGCGTAATATTTTTATATAGATAAAATACTGATGTGGTCGTATCTATTTTCAGACGTATTTACCATCATTGGAGGAATTGATAGCACATCACAACAATATAACTGGACTAGAGAAGGATTTCCACGGCCTACCTTCGCTTTGCATAGCCGATTTGTCGTATAATAAAATTCGTTCGATAAACTATGAACTTGTCTCGAAGTCAAGATGTACTATTAACGGTGTACCCAGCGTTCTGAAGATTTATCTTCAAGGTTAGTCTAATCGGTAACAAATGCTCAGCGTTCAAATAAACATATGAATTAAATAATTTTTTCTTTCATATGGAATATTAAAGAAAATAATTTCGTTGCGCAAACTCAATCCAAATACGTGTATTTGTTTCCAGAATTTAATATCATATTAGCCAAGCGAAATACTTGAAATATTAAATGTTTCTTTCGACTGCAAAGCGATTGCTGCTACATTATTTGTATTTTACTCTATTTGTTTCATATTATTTCTTTAATAAGATTGAAAAAATTCTTAGGTTCTACGAAGGTTTTTTGTGTGCTTGTTAAATAAACAAAGTATTTAAATAATAGAAATGTTATTAATATAAAGATAAAATTTGGTATTTTGTAGTAATTGAATGAACACTTGGTTACAGATAACCCAGTAATATGCGATGACCGGTACTACGAGTTGATGACCGTTCTGGAGAGTCTGAACGCTCGCGTCAGTGGCGCCTCGAACTGCGTCACTTCACAGACTGCGGCGCCGATATTGATGAGGGCACTCAACGATATAGTTCCAGAGGCACCCGTCATCCTGGTGACGCGTATGGGCGCCGGCGTCAGAGTTCTGCAAGATAGCAGAGAAAACACGGCGCCACAGCTCGCGTATAGACGCGTCGGTCCACTCATCGGTCAAGTTCTTCCCGAACGCGAGGGAGGATATCCTGTCCTCGTAGAGCCGCCGGTAACTCTGCCGCCTTCCGCCACAGACGTTGTCAAGTGGCCGGATCAAAGTGCTCTGCGGGAAAACCACCCCCACCCTCTGGCAGATCATCTTCGCCTCCGCGATTTGAACGCCTCATCGCACTGAACGTCATATCTCCAAGGCATCAGCGTCCCCACGGTGCCCCGCTACGGAGTGCTTAGGAAATATACTGCCACACCTCAAGCCGGCAGAATGCCATTATCGATCGAATTAAATATTCAACAGTTACCACTCGCGGTGTAAATAAAGTACATAATTATGAATATCGACTCGGGCAAAAATGTATTCATATAAATTTGTTAAAATGCTTTTTTCATATTCGTGTGATTGTATCTTTGAAGTTTCATTAATTTAATTAATAATTTATTACTACTATTTGATTATAAAAATGTGGCTTACTAAACTTTTGTTAAAACAAAATATTTAGCTTAAATATAACTTCGCACTCTTTTCTAACACTTGCTCCAATTAATAAAACTGTACCTAAAATTATTTATGTTACGTTATTTTATCTTAAATATTAGCTGTTAGTTTTATTTATATTGTCCATTAACACAGCCATAGAATGTAAATTTTTATTCTTCCATTGAAAATCTATTTTCACATCTGTCACTAAATATACCACTGCTTCTGTTTTTCTTCCCTTACTACTCTAATTATTCTACCGATTTTAAAAAATGCAAATACAGAATCTTCATTTTTCGTAAATCGGCTGTTTTTTCCTTATTCTTTTATTATTTTAATTAAATATTGTGCAATCAAGTAATTCAATAAATAATACATAATATAAATTATGGTTTCATTCTTTCTCGACCAGTAATTAGTTGCAAAACCATATTACTTTTGTATCTTAAATTTAATAAGGTTAATATTTTTCAATCATGCTAATGAATTTTAAAGTTATCAAATGGGCCATTTATACTATTATCTAAAACAACGTGTCAACCAATGTAAAAAAAAAACAGATTGAGGTAGTGCTCATAGTTCAATCGGACTCACTCCCTATATAATACAATATAGTGATCCTAGAAGGGTTCCGTTTTTTCCTTTAATAATAATACAAAAGAAGATAGAAAATTCTCATGCTACCCTACTCACACCATGACACTCTGGAGAAAAACATTAATCGACCACTACACTCACTCTACAAAATCCGTGAAAATATTAAATCAACATATACACGGACATACATGTAATAACATATACTATTACTATTACTCCGCTGCTGCAGCGACCCAGAGTGGGTCTTTGCCGACACAAGAGATCGCCAAAGTCGCGTGTCTTGCGCCTTCTCCTGTCAGACCATTGCTTGTAGGTCCCGCAGATCCAGCTCTACGGCGTCTCGCCAGCGGTATCTGTTCAGGCCGATAATAACATATTCTACAATATATTTGATAGAATGAGATCAAAGACAATTTAACATACACATGTATCAACAATCACACACAAATAAAAATATAATTTCTACACACTTAATATTATAAAAAATTCAACTTAAAGTTAGAGCACAATGCTCATAGAACTAATTATCGAATCTAAAATTACTAGAATGTAAGTTATCTCCCAAAAATTACCTTAAATTAATTACCTTAAAAAATATTCTCAGTGGCGTGTACAAGATGAAGTGAGAGAAATCACTCTACTATACAGCTTGCGATCGTTCTTCGTATCAAATAAAAACGTCTGTCCGTGACTATTAAGGAATATTTTTTTTAATATCAGACACAAACTTTAAATTAACCTAACAAGGTTTCACTCGAAAATTCTAGGAATTCGATTCTCATCCCTAACAAGGAGTTCGAACCAACTCTAGGGGCGACTAACCCTTAGTCTACCATTCTGGGTCTGCGCGGGTTTCAATTGCTCCGCAGATTATGCTGGTGACAACGATATTTTCCTTCTCCTTCAACGTAGGATAAATGTACATAATATGAGGTTCCAAAAAACACATTGGTTCATGGTAGGAATCGAACCCGCACCTGTAATTTACGCTCCGGTATGGTATTTAACAAGTGCCACCGACGCCCTAGAATTGTGTCAACCATTGAATAGAGTTCTGTTTATTACTTAACTCACTTAACATGAATTTACAAAAGGTTTATAAATAATAAAATTATTAATCATGAAAAAATACGATGATTAATTAATGAGAATTGAAATAAATGCAAGAATGCAGAATCATGTTGAACTTGCCCAGGGCTGGTTTTAGCATTTCCGGCGCCCTGGGCTAGATTTTAACAGATCCTCTTTTTCTTTGGTATCAGAGAAAATCTTCCAAAGACCTTAGGTAGGTGCCATAGTCGGATATAAATGGGTGCCTGAGGCGCCCACAAATGCCCGGGGCCCTGGGTGGACGCCCTACCTCGTCCTACCCTAACACCGCTCCTGTACTCGTCATCTTACTACACAGACATTTACTATCAAAACATGCTACCCACTCGATTTTTAAGAATAGATGTTGTACATGTGTGCAACGTACAGTTGCACCTAAAGTTCTTGATCCAATATAATATTTTACGTATATTTTATTAATTTAACTTAATTGTACTAATATTTATAAATAATTAACTTTGAATTATCTACTTTGATTCAATACGGTGTGTGAACAGTTCCCAAATACCATCATACTATTAGGTAAATGAGATTTAGTAGTAATATCCATAACATTATAATCATTTAGTTAGCAGTTTAACTTAACTCTAAACAAAATAATTTCAAACCATGACACTAGTTAACCAAGTATTAAAACCTAGAAGACGATCTTGAATTTGAATATTGATTTGTGCACACAGGTAAGCCTTAGTGTGCAATATGCTTCTGTGTTGCCAGTGTGAAATTGCCGATCGCCTATATAAGGAGCTGGACATTGTACGACAATCTACAGTTGTCATTTGGCGTGTTGCCGCATGTTTCTAACGGCGAAGTGCTCTTCGATATTCAAAACGTCAACTTTGTTTTTAAGTGCGCTGTGATTTTGTTTCAGAGTGATTTAACTTACGCATTTTTCTAAAAAAATGTATTAATTTCAAAATTAAAGTGTATTGAAGTGTTGATTTATATTAAATATATTTTAATATTTTAAAGTATTATAGAATACCGCAAGTGGATTTTATCGGATATCCAAGAAAGCAATGGTAAGTAATAATAATTATAAATATTTGACTCCAAAATTGATTTCTACCATTCCTTTAAACTTTAGTAATTAATTGTTTAAAATTCGAATTATAAGAAGTTTACATAAACTTAAAGTAAACACATTTTTTGGATATAAGTTATAAAAAAAATTAAAAAGGAAATAGAAATAGCATAATATTATGCATTGTAGTTTTTATTTCATTCTTTTCGATTTTTATTGATGTGACATTTATAGATTTTAAAGATATTTATTTACAACTTCCGAATATAGCGGTGGACACTTAGAAAACCGCAATACATAATATCATCATAATATCATAATCAAAGTGTGGACTAGTATTGCCATAAATTTGAAAAGAAGCACCAGTTGAAATAGAAATAAAGTGTAGCAACATTCAAATTTATCTGTGACAGAACAGAAATTAATAGAACTTTCCAATCGGTCGATTCTTTGTTCATTTTGGTGAATTGTGCGAAAATTGCTCCCATCCATTGCATTGCATCGTTTCTTATTTGTTTAGTAGTGTATCCTTCAAGTTTATAATGTTTTCAGAAGTTCGTAATGTAAAACTATAAACAGAATCGTCTCATAAAACTGTCGACACGACGTGATCTGTAGTGAAAAAAGAAATGAGTAAAATGGTGCCATAGAACGTGTAATTTTTCTACACCATAAGAAGAAAATCATTATCCAGTCAAAATGGCGACGAAACCAGAAAAATTACCAGTGACTGACACTAATACAGATTCCCTCTTAGAAATTTGTATTGAGACCATTGCGCGTAATCTCGACGCAATTTCGATAACAGATCCTGTCACCCTGTTGCGCAGACTTAAAAATGATATAATTCTACCTGTGGAACTCTGTGAAAAGTTTATTGACATTTTTCAAAGAAAACACATTATTGATGACAAAGTCGCGAATATATTTCGTGATACTGAGCGCACGAAAATCAATAATTTGAAGCTGCGGAATTCGGCGGTGACCGTTGATGGTCTTGCCTGCTTTATGGTTCATAAACCAAAGACAGTGGAATTAACTCATTGTGTGGATTTGACACAGGTGGCCATCAATGTGATCAATGAGCATAGTGAGAACCTAGTATCTCTGAAATTTGGACCACTGAGTTATACCATTTCACAGAACAAACTTTACCAAAAAGAGTACATCCTGTCTATACCACAACTGAAGAAGTTGTCCATTCAATGCCGGAAGGCAACTGTCTTCCCAATACTCCTCACTCAGCCTCTGTACTGCTTGAGGCATTTGGAACTATCAGAATTGACACAATCTAATTACCTGACCGCTTTGCAAGGCCTTGAGACCTTGGAGTCACTGGTACTTTATAATGTACGAATTGAGACAGGACTTGTAGAGTGGATTTGTACCTTGCATTCATTAAAGCATCTGGATTTGTCTCAATCAAATGAGCGGCTGGGTGTATTTCCTAATCCTAATTTAACACTGTCAAGGATGATGCATTGCTTGCCGCATCTGATGTCTCTGGACATTTCGGGCACCAATTTAGCTGGTACTGGAGCAGCACCACCCCCTGATGAGGAAGTGGGGGAACCTGAAGTGCCTGCTGTCCCTGTGAGGTGTGATATCCCTGGCCTAGTCAGTCGAGTGAACAAACCTCTGCACTTCCTTGGTCTTTATGGAACCCATAATGGGGCCTGTAGGTGGCATGATATTCCAGCTAAAGTGGTAATTTTTCTAATATTTATAATATTTTGTCTCCCAAAGCCTTATGAAATTGCTATTGCTGTAAATTTGATGGTTCCTATGTTAAATAATTATATCTTCATAATTTTGCGGTTAACACACTAAAATTTTTTATATATTAAATAAATTCTATGGGTATTTTTGTGTAAGCTAGTATAATAAGTTAAAATAAAAGTAAAATAATACATGTAAGAATTTTACATCCAGTGATAAAAATATAATTATAAAGTGGAAACCATACTTACCCTAACTGGAACTAAAAACATTTAATTTATTGTGTAATCAACAAGTGCACTACATTTATATTATTTCAGATTACTGGTGATACCAATGAGGAGCAAATCCTGACATCAGCGAAGGTTTACATGGGCAGAACTGCAATGCTTGCTCATGTCCTCAATGATCTTTATTATCTGTTCCGTTACGACCAGTGTGAATCGGTACAACGTTCTCTTGCAATTGTATTGGAGGCAATGAAAAGACATATCCCTGAGAAACATATTCAAATATCTGGAAGGTACTATAATTAGTTTTCCTTTAAAAATCTTATATAAATTTCTTAGTTTATCCTATATTAATTAATAAGAAAAACTAAAACCATGTTTTTTTTATAGTGCTACTCTATTCTACATTGTAAAGGGTAAAGAAAAAGACAAGCTGGGAAAAAAATTGAAGCACGACATTCTGAAAGCTTTGCTTGATGCAATGGAGGAACATAGGAAGGATGAAACCGTCATGAGAAATGGCTGTATCACCATTTGCCAATTCAAGATTCCGTCAGATGTGGTAAGTTATAAGTTAAACAGTGATAATTAAAACAGTATTTCAAAATAATTATAAAACAATTATAAAAATATCCTCTAAAATCTATTTCAGTTTCATGTTTATAATATTTGTAAGACTAACTGTTGCCGCATCTTCATCTTTGTAAAAAAAAAACTGAATGATGCCTATTTTAGACTGTAATGTATCATGGTTTAAAATTTCATCTAGATCCATTCAACCATTATGAAATTATGTGGTTACAAATAAACCAAAACCCCAGTTTTCAGTTAACATACCCCATACAAGGTCCGTAGTTTGAAGTCGTAAAAAATGTTACATGCAGTCTTAAATATGTAATTATTTTTAACAGTTGTGTGAGTATGAACGTCTAGTTCAGATGCTGCTCAGTTGCGTGCCATATCAGAGCCAGGAGGGATTCGTTCAGCGCGTCTCTATCTACCTGCTTAACTCTCTAGCGTGCCAGGTCGACGGCAATCGAAAGTTATTCTTGGGGAGAAGTGGACTCATTGAGGTAAGAATAATATACAATATATTTAAATACCACTTTCTGGATAATATTTTTCTTCCAGAATAAATATAAGTCCTGTAAAAAACTGAGCTAAGGAGACTTTAGTATTTAATATTAGCTTGCAGCTATATATACGCGATATAATGGCAACACTAACACAATACATTTGCTATGCTTTACTATACTAATATTTTGCTACTAATACTGTACTTTCGCATTGCAACGTAATCGCGATGTTTCGATGTAAACATGTTATTATACTTCTTCCATACAGACACTATACAACATCGCTATAATGCCATCCAAACTTTAAAGCAGCTGGTAATTTCTCAAGGTCGTAGATGAATGCGAGGGCGGGGTACAAATCCGCGCTTATTCCATCCGCCAACACAAACCGCTATAAAGTTTGAATCGTGTTATACCAACGCGACGTGACCGCGATACATTCAATAAGCAATTTCGACAAAGACGATTCTTCTTTTATAAGCAAGCGGATATTCTTTATGCGCACTCGCGATGTTGTCTATCTTAAATGAAAAAACAAGTATTATTTTCAACTTTAGTTAAACAGAAATTACGACTTTATTTTTTTCTTTGTTTTTAAATGTCTAGGGCGTACTATAACCTTTGTGCGTGCATACCAGCCTGTTTTATGGCCAGGTGTTTACCTGCCGCGCGGCGTAATATGAACGCGCACTTGTAGTGCAGATCTAAGACTTAACTTTAAGCAACAAAAAGCGGTTAGAGATAGATTCTACAGAGCTACTTGACTATTTATGTTAAACTATAATCTAATAAACGATGCGCATTTTATATTACACTAGTTTCTAGTTATGCGAATTCAAATCTGCGTCTTTGGCGAAATGTAGTCTACATTTTTATATTGCAAGGCTGAAAATTAGAACTAGAATGAAAGAATGACAATATTTCTTTGAAGAGTGTTAGATTTTTTCTTTGTTAAATCTAAAGAGTTCTTATTCTGCGCAAATGGTTTTATGCGTGCGTCTGCGTTAATACTGTATGACATGATTAAATAACGAAAGATTTTCAACTAGTACAATATTGAATGAAGCGAATTAAATTTACTAGTTAATTTTAAGGCGAGTTATTTATAAGTGTATATATTTTTTTTTATTTACACTTACAATTTTTTTTATTAATGTTTATTTATAAAATTGCTAATAAAATTGTCAAGGCGTCTGTAACAGTTTTGTATTTTGTATGGAACTAGCTATAAGCAGTAGATTGCAACGTCTAACGTCTTAAATTCAGCGAAAACCTACAAAATTAAAAGTTTTTATGTATGTGGGTTCCTAAGTAGCGACCGAGAGTCTATAAACTGAACTATTTTGTTTTTTTAATTTGCGATGAATGTATGCGAAGACGCGCGCGACATCTAATTTTATAAGCTTGATATCTTTATTGAGGGAAATAGATAGGAAAGATTCACGCTTGTCATAATGATAAATACAATACTTGAAGAATTGTCACTAGTTGCCTGGAAGATTTTTTTTCAAGTGCCTTTGTAAAGTTCAGTAGACGAAAATATTTCCGTAACACTTTACAAAGCAAAGATCTCGTCTCCAAGATTTTGTTTATGTTTTATTTTGTGCATGCGAATAAAAATACTCTTTGAAGCTGCTAATTATAACTAATCTGTATGAAGCGAGCTGATTGCGATGAACTATTTATGTGACAAAAGCTGCGAATGTTTGGATGTATGGATGGATGGATGTTTTTAGAAGGTATATCTAGAATTGATCATGGAGCTTGCTGAAATCTGGAAAAACACATAAGCCACTATGTTTTTTTTCTTTCCGCACGGACGGAGTCAAGGGCAACAGCTAGTTATACAACAATCAAGATTATGAGTCCATTGGTTAAGCAAAAGAGTCGATTCATTCTTTGTGTCATTCATTGATTGAATGATTATATTTTTCTCGGGTTAAATATGTACCTGTAACAAACCGGAGGATTCGATATCGACGAGTTTTATTCCATTCGTCGTTATCGTAATATTTTTAAAGTAGATGTAGAATCTGGAAGAGCACGGCCTCGTCTATGTTCGTTTTTTACTTTAAAGAGAAAGAGTTGCAGTTTTTTTAAAAATGATATTTATTAATGTAATGAAGCGAGACACTTGCATAAAACATTGTCAGCTGTGCATAATTTATATTTTCGTATTATAAATCTTATAAAAAGCTTTGTCTATGTACTTATTACTTATATATTAAGTTGTGGCTTGCAGTTAAAATTGTTGGTTTTATTAAGTTATACACAATGAATGCTGAACTATGACGATGCGAGCAACTTGTTCTTTATGAATTTTGTATTAAGCGATAAATTTTTGATTGATCTTTTTTCTATTTCGAGGCGTGGCCTTTGCACTTATTGATTTTTTTTATAATCCATGTCCCTTGTTTGAATTACAATTAAATTAACAGTGGTAGAGCCCGCTTTAACATCTTCGCGCGAATCGTCCGGGCTCGCCCGGTGAAATACCATGACCACACAGAAGACTGGCATCAAGTGGAAGCAATTCCGCGTTTCGTCTGTTGAGCGTGCGTCCCGGAGGCCTTTTTTCGTCCTCTTTTCCTTCCCATCCTTTTTCTTATAAACAAAGGATGGGAAGTGGAAGTGGACTTTCCGGATGAGAGAATGCATGGAAAGGGAAAATATTTTCTTTCTGTGCATACTCTCCGTCGATTAAAGGTAGGCAACGCATATGCAATTGCGTATGTCTATGGGCAATGGTCACGTCGCTATTTCAGCGATTTCAGATGGTCGCTTGCTGGTTTGCTCCCTTGTGATATAAAAAAAAATAAGCGATATTGTTGTTATAAATGTTTGGCGAGATACATGTAAATTGATTGAACATTATTTTTTAACCTATTTCAAAAAGTTCTGATTATTTATATGTTTTATCTTATGCATAATGTGATAGCTTTGCTTGGCGTATTGAGTTTGAAGCAAACTTTTGTCTCTTATATGATTCATAGCCTTAAAGTGAGTCTTAATTATATTGCATTTAAACATTATCGTCGCTTTTGTTCTTTTTGAAAAAGTATGTTTCAATTACACGAAGTTTTATACTGTCAACTTCTGGGTAAAATCAGGTTTGCAAAAGAAAACGAAGAGAACACAATTGATCTCCCAATCGCGTTTGGTAATAATATTAGGCTAACTCTTTTTAACCTTTCTACCAATTTCTCCCTTTTTCCTACGCAAAGACCGTTACAAAATTACCAGCAATTTAAAGTGGCCTTTTCAGAGAAATCACAGTATATTCAAAAGTTCCACCTTTAACATTGTTCCAGAAAATGATGCGTCTGATATCGACACGTCTCGATTGTGGTGTTTGCGACGACGTGCTTGAGGTCGCTTGGTCCACTCTGTGGAATGTGACAGACGAAACTCCGGCCAACAGTAGCCGCTTCCTCGAATGCCTCGGAATGGAGTTATTCATCACATGTCTAGCGGTAAATGTACGATTTAAAATCTATATTATAAATTCCTAGAGCTCAAAGGATTGCTGGCTTTAGGTTATCATCTTTACCGTCGAATGACGTAGTTTTGACATATAACGCTAGATGGCGCTGAATTTAAATGTATCAGAAAATTAGAGAATTTATGTTGTCAAGTTGTTACACTTGCAAAGCTTAAATGACAGAAGTTTGCAGAAATTGCTCCTAGAATTGATGGGTAGGAGTCGCAATCTTAAAATGGATAAGTATAGTTCCACGCAGCGTAAGTAGGCTGCCTAGGACAGATTTGAATAGGCCTTATAGTGTACAAATCAATTGAGCTATCCAATTTATTCACACAAACGATTTTGATGAAAATGTGAACTCATCAATCGAGTCGGTATTATATATTATAAAACTATTATCGCCTCTCTCGTTTTCTTAAAAAAAAAAACAGAACAATGTATATGACAGAATTTTAAAAACATATATTCAATAATCTTTTATTACTTTTCTCCAAAAATATAATAACATATTATTAAACCAAGCGTAAATGTACAACCAAGAATTCCCTATGTCCACAGGCATTTCCTCTAAAAGAGGAATTGCTCCGCAACATGATGGGCTTGCTGGGTAATGTGGCCGAGGTGGCTGAACTGAGACCTCAGCTTGTGGACAGTAACTTTCTTGTACTCTTCTACAACCTTCTAGACTCATCCAGCGATGGAATCGAGGTATGTATAAATTTTAACTAACTAAAGTAGGAAGTGGAAATATAATTTTCTATGTATCCACTCGTTGGTTCGTTAAAGGTTGGCAATGAAGCTGCCTTATTTTGTTGTTACTTTGCTACTTTGGCAACACTATATTGCCGCTCCTTGATACTCCTTACTCTTACGGTGAAGGAAAATGACGTGACGTTACCTGCATGTATCTGAGAAGAAATTCAAAGATATTTGTGAAGTCAACTAACCCCCACTGGGACTGCATGGTTGACTATAGCCTACCTTAATTAGAGCAGGCTTCAAGCGCCTCTTCGTATAGTGAGCTGTTGATGATGATGTGGCCACTAACTGATTTCCCTTGTGATATAAAAGCAAAAACCTGATATAAAAAAAAAACATAGAAAAATGGATGTGTTCACACGTGCTATACATAACAGGTAAGCTACAATGCGGCTGGGGTCCTGGCCCACATAGCTTCTGATGGGGAAGAAGCCTGGGTGGTGTCCAACCCGCCCAGATCTGCCGTCCTCGCACGCCTGGCCATGGCTGTACAGACCTGGAATCTTCATGATGAGAGGAATATCAATTATCGATCATTCAAACCTATCCTGGGTCTGCTCAGTGTATATCATACACCGCAATGCCAACATTGGGCAGTGTGGGCTCTTGCTAACTTGACCACTGTATACCGTAAGTATATAATTGTAATATATAAATACCACAAAGTCAAGCATGTTATATTGTAGCTAATAAAAACTACACGAAAATACCTTTTTAGGTGTATTATCTAAGAAAGTAAATATATTATGATTGCTTTTTATCATTCCAAGTCTTAACATAGTCCTAATTCTTTTCAAGCAAGTGAAGATTCTTTATTTTTATGTATGTTTTTCAGCACAAAAATACTGCAAGTTGGTGATTGCTGAAGATGGTATTGCACTCCTTAAAGATATATTAAAAGATCCAAGGCCGTACACTGTGATCAAAGATCTTGCAAACATGGTCATCGACAACTGTGCGCGCTATGCTGCTCAGGACAGTAACAACCCGGTCCCGGATCCTGTGTCCTATGACAACTAGCTATTGGAGTTCTTTGGAGAGTTTGACCCAGAGTTACGTGAATAGCAGAGGGTTTTATTCCTCAGATGCGTAGCAATCTGGGCAGGAAGCGTCATAGTGGGTCTCATTTCTGTTATCACCTATGCCTTAACCCACTAGGCACATAACACGGTCGGCCTGCAATGAACCATCACTGGATGTACAGCAAATTGGGATTGCAGTATATGGATATGATAGTGTTGTGTTTGAAGTTATTGTGTTGTGCAGTGCCGTCGTATTTGACGCGATCAATCTCTCCGGACTCAATGAGTGAGTATTACAAACAATTTCAGAGCGTAAATTTAAAAATGAACGTTGGTAACTACCAGTTAGATTAACCTCACAACTTAGTATATAATGTGTTTAATCTTAATATCTTAACACTCTTACCATGAGTTTACACTACAGATACATTCACATGTAAACATGTTGTGATGTATCATAAATAACATGTTTTATTGTAAAAGTTACAGCTAGTTAACTCATGTTTGTCTTGTAGTTTCGTTTCAGTATTCTTCCGAAAAATGTATTTTCAAATAATATTTAATCATGAAATGATTTCAATCTTATATCCAATATTTTTTTGTTCAAAATAGAATAAAACTTGATATTTGTTACAATATTACTATAAGATCTGTATTTCAAATAAATGTATATTGATGTTAGTTAAACTAAGTTTAAGAATGAATAGTTCACAATCACTATGGTGATGTAATTGATTGTAAAGAGGTGTTTCAATTTAATGTTGAAGTAGTATACCTTGTGACTGCACCTCTACTTTAGTATATGTTTAAATCTATAACACCCTGTATACTAGTCTCACAAATTAAATAAAATTTCATAAATTTCTAATCCTTATAATCATTTAAGTAAATTTAACGTAGATTTATAAATAAAGTAATTAACAAAACCATGATGATGTTAGTTTATATTACTATGATAATGACAAGAAATCAAGTATTGATAAAATATATATAATATGGAAGTTTTGACATTATGTGTGTTTAGATATATAAACATGTAGCAGTTATCTAAATATACAAAACATATATCACAACTAAATAGTTTACTTATGATGACCTTTAAGACGGCATTATGATAGTGCATGGATAGGTTCGCCCAGATCGCTGGGAAGAATGGTGTGCCACTGGTCTGCTAATTAAAGTCACACATAACCTTGTTATACTCCCTTCCTCCAAGGGATGATAAAAACAGTGGGCGCCATCTATAGATATATATATACCTAGTTAGTCACTGACCATTGGAAAAACTAAACATATTTAGAAAGAGATCCTAGTGTTTTAACAAAGCTGATTATTATTGTACTTAAATGCTTAAAATTATATTAAATTAATAATCATAGTTATAAAAATATGGGTGTTTCTTCATAAAAGGAACAATCCTTTATAAAAGTTTGTCTTTTTGCTTATTATAATAAATTACAGATGTAAAAATATTATTGGAAAAAAAAATTATAAAAGGATGAAAAAAAATTAAATCTTGCTTCATATTAAATTTAAAAAGTTAAAATAGTCTTTGTACATAGATAATTAGCTTTGATTGTGTCTTTAGTATGTCTAAGCCATGATAAAGAATTGATTGTGAACTTACCTGGACCCTCATAACTTGACAACATGTCAACTTTGCTCATGATTTAGGTCATACTTCCCTACTACCACCCACAGGATCTCTCTCCCCGTTGAATACTTGACATGTATTAAATAAAATATTTAATGTTTAGAATATTTGACACTTACATTAAGATAAATGTTTAATCTACTGTTTGTTGTAAAAGAGATGGCTGCGTTCGGGGTTTGTGTAACATGCAAATGTTCTATGAGGGATTAGTATGTTAAGTCTTGTGTATATATTTGATATTATGTATTTCAAGTTCCATTCACTAATGTTTCAATGTTAGTGTTTCATTCTGGATCTTTATCAATGTCTATTTATCCCTTCTGTAAATATATAGCTGTATAATAGCTTTAAATATTAAGAAGATGTTATAATCATTTACTATATTATCTTACAGCACTATTAATCTAACAGTAAATTATTTAGTCTACATATAATAATCCTCTGGTGAATTATTTACATTTTTTTTTCAGATTTAACATTTTATGTTATAGGATGTACCTAACGCTTTTGTCCATATTTCAAACGATTTGATTCACTGAATAAATTTAATATTGTCTTTAAATTGTTCTTATTATTGCAATATTAAACTTTGATGCAAAAGTTGTATATGTTTTCATTTTGCTTACAACAAATTGCATTGGATGTTGTAAAAGAATAGTTGTACCTAAGTAGACGTAGCTTTTTAAAATATAATAAATTATTATATTGGTGTATTTCAATTAAAATTTCCTTGTTCTAAACGTTCCTTACATGGAATAGATGGCCATTAGTTGTTTGTAGTATCTTGCTAATGAAATCCTGTTTCTATCGCGTAGGCTGCAGCTTTAAAAATATATTTAAGTATATCTTAAACATGTTTAAAATTATTTCTCAACTTTTTTCATGATTTAAACATATTTCAAATATAATATTTTACTGTATTACTTTTGTGTTTTAACGAAATTGTTCTTCAATTATTAACAAAGCAGGAATATTCAAAATGATATTTTATATAGAGTTGTTTTTGTTAGTTGAGTCAAACTTATTTACTTCAAATATTTTTATTCTATAAGTCTTACTGCTTTAATATGCTATGTGATTTTAGAGTTGAAATGTTATTAATAAATTTAACCTATTTAGAATTTGCCTTTCATTTTTTATCAACCACTACTAAATCAAAATCATTTTTATATCCGGTAAAAACTGGTTTTATTTTATAAAAGGATGGCTGATGAATTGACTGTTATTGACAAAGGTTTTTGGATTCCAATACACTAAGCTACGAATTTACTTCGTGTACATTATTTTTTTTTTAACCAAAATACACATTACACCGTTTTGTCGGTTTGGGAGAAAATGTTAAAAATTCGTTTGGTTTTGAAGATAATAAAAAACACAATTCAAATATCAAGTTTATTTGTAAATGAAAAAGTACAAAAACTAATCTAGGTTTTATTTTATATGGCCAGTCATAGTAAATATTCTTAATATCTTTGGAGAACATATTGCAAAGAAATTAAGAACATTAATTTAGGAACGCTATTGATTGTAGTTATAAGTTTAAAATAAGTAAAAAAATAAAAAAAATATTAAAAACAGTTTAACCTAATATTTAGGTTACAAAATTCAGAGTAAACAACATATTCATATTAAAGATTTTTGCTAAAAATATTATTTCATGTATCTTATTATATCTATGTAGAAAATTTACCAAATCTATTTAAAAATTGTGGATTTTAACATATAGACATATGTATGTAACATGTTTTTTTTAAAGAAAATGTGAACTGATATGTGACTACATGTATCGCAGCAGTGGAAACCCATGTTAACATATTTGATTTTTCTAACAAATTGAGCATTAAATGCAAATTATAAAATTTTATTTTTCGAAATAAAATCTTAAAAAAAAAATCTTTTAAAAAGGAACTTATGAATATTTAACAACGGTAAAAAATTTTCAAACATTAAATGTTATGTTATCATTAAAAAATATTTCATTCTATAACAAATTTCTTGGTCCGGAAGATTTTTTCAAGTAAAATAAAATACGAAATGTATAACGATATGTAAATATAAAAAAAAATCTGACAAAACTCTTGTGCATCTAGCATGCAATAAGTATATGTATACATAGGAAAAAAACAATTCACGAAATTCTCTGTATGATATGGTAGCCAACGTTGGTTTCAACCGGTTGGCTAATTTCACCGATCTGTAAGGCGAAGGCTGCCTCTTCAAATGCCTCATCCATATCATGGCCCTTATAAATAGGATCCAACTTGCCACCCTTGAATGCGGTCGAGCTTTCTGAATATCTATAAGCTGCTATATCAAAAGGACACCTCTCCGTCAATATTTCGATGCGTATATCTAAAAAAATTACAAAAAAATATATGTCAAAACATTTTTTGAAATGAAAAATTACAAATCAACAATCAACAGCAAAAAAAAACATGCATATCTATACATCTGGAATATTTTTTGTAGCCTGACAGAATAACATTTTTTTAGTAGCTGTAGCCCGCGACTCCGTTTGCGCGGAATCAAAAAACTTAATAAGCAGCCTATTTTTTCTTTCAGACTAGGTTTTACATCTATGCCATATTTCAGCGATACCCATGCAGCCGTTTTGGAGATACCTTGTAACAAACCATCCAATCATTTGCATTTATAATATTAGTAAGAAGTAAGATTTCAACCTTCTAATATTGTAAGTTCATTTGCAATTAATTTAAAGTGATTGATCTTCACAGTTGCCTGGCGAATTTAACAGTTGCCGTAATTATAAGATTTAAATAAGCAAAATACAATAAAATATAATACCTATAGCGCGTTCATAAGCTTCTGTTGGTGACCGAATTGTATATTCCCCATTTAGCACTCGGCACATTGGCGAATGATCACTCAAGTAATGCTTTACAAGGATATGACGAACTTGAATCATTTTAGGTTTCTTTTTCCTCAGAGGTCCTTCATCGCTTAGGCTAAACTCTTCATCAGTGCATAAAGATGCCATGCTTGTGGGTTTTGTTAATTGAAAATCTCCAGTTATCAAGTTACAGTAGAAAAGTTTCCCTGAAACAAAAACCTTTTTTTTATGAAACAAGTAGCAATCCTCCGAGACTTCGGAGACATGAAATTAAAAAAAAAACATAATTAATGGCCTGTACGTTCCTCTAGACTATGTTCTATGTGTATGGCAATTATCATTAAGATCCATTCAAGCGTTCGGGAGATACCTTTAAACAAACATCCTCCTACCAACCATCCATCTAAACATTCGCATTTATAATATTAAAAAGATTGCGTTAAACATTAAATTCTACCCAAAAGTTTTCAACTGTCTGCTTTATAGTCTCTGTTTTATAAAAAAAAACGAAGTGATCCCATAAGGGTTCCGTTTTTTTCCTATGAGGTACGGAACCCTAAAAAGAACGAATGAAACCAAGAATAACAATATCATAAGGCAATGCTATACTAGCTGTCGAATGCGACACCGCCCGCGCGGAATGAAGAAAAAACTTAATTAGTAGCATGTGAGTTCATCCAGACCATATTCTACATCTGTGCCAAATTTCACCAAGATCCATGCAGTTGTGGAGATACCTTCATACAAACACCTATCCATCCATCCATCTAAACATTCGCATTTATATTAGTAGGATAGTAGTATTAATAGATAACAAAATATTAGTGCTATGGAGGTCAATGGTCTCTGCCTACCCCTCTGGGTTAAGGGCGTTATAGTTGTTTGTTTATGGAAGCACACGATATGTTATAGTTGTGTCATAACTAAGTAAAGAGCAATTGCCGATTTATTCCATTTGCATAGATAATATAGAACAATGTTCTATATTACACGATCAATATTAAACAACAACGCAGAAGATATTTAAATACTGTTGCAAAAGGTAACCGTAACATTGAAAGAACAAAATGCACATATCATGAATATAAAATTTATTTTTTATGAATATAAAACTATGATAATATTAAGAATACATATAATTTTATAAATTAATGCCCGTCTGTCTGTCTGTCCTCAAGTCAATGTTTACTTCGAGTAATCTCTGAAATGACTGCATCGATTAATATGAGACGTGCGCATTTATTTATAGAGTGCGATCTTCACAAACAATTAATATTTGAACGAAATCGCGAGCAGCAGCTAGTATGTAATGAGACTAATCCAATACTTTCGGCTACCTTTACGTTATTTGCAAACTATTTGGAACATTCGATGTTGTACATATATCTATCTTTACCGAACTTGTGTCACGTTTACCGACAGCTTTATAACGTAACTAGTTGTCACCCGCGACATCGTCGGCACGGGATAAAAAGAACATTATTAGTAGCGCATGTGTTCTTCCAGACTACTTCTATATCTATACCAAATTTCAGCAAGATCCTTTCAGCCGTTTTTGAGTTATCTTCTAACAAACATCCATCCATCCACCTAAACTTTTGCATCTATAATATTAGTAAGATAACTCAACAAAGTACATGAGAGGCTGTCCAGGGGGCGTCCAAATAGGATTAGTCATTACGTCATTTACTGAATATGAAATTAGCTTCCTTACATTCAGCAATATGGCGACGTTTTTCTTATATTTATAGTGGTATGTCGCCGGCAATTTCGCCCGCGCGGTAGTAAAAAAAAACTTCGGAAGTAGCTTCGGTAGTAGTAGTTCTACATCTATGCCAAATTTCAGCGAGATTCATTGAAGCATTTTGAAGATACCTTCAAAGAAACATCCATATACCCATTCATACTTTCGCATTTATAATACTAGTACGCAGTACGATATAGCTTTGTATAAATAAATCGATATCTCAAGATTGAACGTCATTTCTTCATTTTATGAAGACAGATTATTTTGTTATTGACATAAAACGCAGACAACACATAAACAACACATAACACATTTTTTTTTTCACTTTAGTCAGATTATATGTCAAAAATATACTCATGGACTGATTACATTAAAATAAAATAATATATTGAGGGTAGGTATCGACGAAACTACGACGTAAATTGGTAAAAATGACAATTCAACATGCAACTAAAACACCGTCATTTTGTAAATAATGTAATTTTAAAATGCAATCGTAATTATGTGCCCTATATATTATTACACTATTATTATATTAACTTACCCCAAGTTCTGCTGACACGAAGCCCCCATCCAAGTGGTACAGGTCTCTTTGGCGCCATTGAAATTCTTTAAGACACACGGTCAACTGGATAGTAAGCAACACTTGAAGCAAATGCAAATATGTATCAAACTTCACAGAGAAAGACGGAACTGCGACGGAACTGCAATCCTTTTTTTACCCCACCTTTGCTCAACATTAAAGCACAGACAAAAGATTTAATTAGATTACGATTTTTTTTTTCTCAAGTCACCTTGTTTATGTCTTATGATTAATTTGGTTTAGTTTTTGATATTTTATTGTTCTATAAATAAAGTAATTGTTTTGTATTTACCAATTTAACATTAAAGTTCAAACTTAAGGCGAAAACAAAAGATCGACACCAGCGCCATCTGCAACAACTGTTTTTCTAATAGGAGTGTCATCTATTTTACAGTTTTCAGTTAATTTATCACTTTAATCAATAAAATTGATAACTTGTGTAGCAAAACAGTGAATCCCCTTGCAGCTCAGCTTAATTTGTACCAGCTCAGAGCTTGTTGTATGTTATACGTTTTAACGAGACGAGAGCCGGAAGCGAATTATGGGTCTGCGACTGGTCAGCTGGCTCGCAACTCGCATAGTTATATTACATCTTATTGAGTCGTGAGCTGAAAATTTAGATGTTGAGCCGCAGCTCTTCGATTCAAGTTTATGTATCCTGAACTTTTGAACCGTTTCAGACCTAAATTACACGAATGTGCCAATGCAGGTGTTGCGATAGTGGACCGTTCAGGTAAACGACGTTTTTATTATTTTCTCAAATTATATTATGTTACGTAGATAAAAAATAGACGTAGAACTTTAAATGCAAACCTATGTTTTTTTAGTATGGCAAACAAGCAAGTAGCCACCCAATTTCGCCCAAATACCGAAGTTTATTGTAGATATCTCAACAAATTGTCTATGCATTACCTTAAATGGACGGAAAAGAGGAAGTACCGAACTAGGGTATTTCGACTTCCTGGACATCACTCCCCCTCCCCGCAAAGACCAATTTCCTTATGATAAAGGGGTAGGAAGGAGAAATTCACTAGAATTAAGTATCCTAGACGCATATTCATCAGACAAAAGACGGAATCACTTCCACTCGGTACCTGTCTTCACTGTGGTCGTAGTATTGCAACGGTGGAGCCAATATTGCTGTTAATTATAATATGACAAAGATAAAGATTGTTTGCTACATATTTTTATTACTTTATTGTGCTAGTTAAATACAATTACGATAAAAAACTTCTTAACAATTTTATTTTTATAAATGCGAAAGCAATTCTGTCTGTCTGTTTGACTCGCTCTAACGCCATAATTACTGAACCGATTCGAATGAAATTTCGTACACAGATAGGTTAGAGCCTGAGAAAAGACATAGGTTACTTTTTAACGAGAAAAAAGGGTTGTAGGGAGAGGAAATGGGGAATGCAATGTTTTATGGAAGTATGGTCAATTTTTTAGTTAGAAGCTTCTTTACATTATTATTTATAAGCTTGAATCTTACCTATTTGGGCTGTTAATTTTATATAAATAAATATGACCTTCAATGTTTGTAAATTTTTATCCTCAAGGGCGCGAAATAACAATAGGGATTAGGGGGGATTAAAGTTTGTATGGGAATAAGGAATATGTAAATTTGGTGTGAATGTTCTTAATATTTTTCCAACATAAAAAATACAATTATTTAATATTTTTCAAGCTGCATGAATATTTTTCGTCGCCATTGCAGATTGCCCTCTTGCGGTCAAGCTGAGATACTTTGGATAATAGTAAGTTGAGATAAATCTTCAGCTACCGGTCCTCATAAAAATGTTGACATAAATAAAAAAACTGATATTTTAAATCTCACTGCTATAATTATCGTTATTTGGTAGCTGTAAAATTGATTCGCTTTGTAGATGCATGCCATCTCTTGTCGAAAACAAACGCATTACTAAAGTTGTTTCCATTTCTTTTTATTTAATACACACCATAGCAAGTGTGAAAGAGACAGATTCACGCAGCCACATAGCAACTGACACCGCAAAGTACTCTGTCGATTCTTGCTTTGTTTTGGTGAATTCACTTTCGGGCGCCGATTCTGTATCTATTACAAATATATCTCGTTGAATCTTGTTTATCATTTATAAACAAACTTATTAAAATACAATGCCGTATAGCGATAGAGCGGCACTACGAGCACTTTCCTTCAAATATTTTATCTGCATGTATAAATTGAAAACAGCAGCACGGCAGCCAAAATGCGTTTTATTCGCTGTTAACACGTTTATATTAAAGCTATATACGTTATTTATATTAATAAATTCATCGAGCATTATTCGGGACTACATTTCGTTATTGACATTTCCCGCGTGAACTAAAAAGGCAAAGGTTTTGGCCTGTATGCCACGGCTTTAGCAGAATGTTTAATTTTTTTTTAATTCTGCCAAATTTTGTTTTAGAATAGATTTTTAAAATATTTTATGTGCATTTTTCCAATTCATAACGTTTTAAACAATTGGTTCCACACGAAGTTTCTACTTTGAAAGACATTTATAGAAAGTTCTTATAAATTTAATTACACTTTTGTACTTAACAATTCACAATATTTTCTATCAAAATATACAGCAATAGTAAATCTAGTAATATAGCGTCATGGCTGTCAACGTTAATGTTGTAGAATTAGAATTATTTTTTTTTAAATAATTCTTAAGTATTTATACCGAAAATTGTGATCATCAGCTCACTATACGTCCCCACTGATAGGTTTGGATCCTACCTTATGTTAGAGGTGAAACCTACCTAAGTGGAAATTGTGATATACCTTGATATAGACATAGACAAAAAGGGAATTAAATAAAAGATATTATTAATACAACAAAGTATTATTTATTAACTTTTCACGATACATGTTTCTTACACAATATGCTTTATGTATAACATGTTCATACAAGTGACAAAACATCATGTATAAATTTCAGACACATGCAAATTGTTATATTTTTTTTTTAAATAAACAAGAAAATTAACTCTAATTTGTGCTCAATAAAATTGTTATGGTCACATTGTATGTAAATATCTGCTAATATTATTTTAGTTTACATTATATAATGATATGTGATTATTTCTAGTACTCATAAACTATTTAAATATCAAAAGTAACAATTAAATTTTAAATATCACATAATATTCGTAAAAGTATTAATCTATAATAATTGATTTTTTTTATAATATCTCATGTGGTCCATTTAATATAATGCTAACGCGCAATTGTGCGACTATTTGGTGTTATTAATTTTCCTATTTTATGTTATTCAAATATTAATTAATAAAGATACAATTTTAATATGTTTTTTTTATTTTTATAATAAAATTTCTCTATAGACTATACAATAATTTTATAATGAATAAGAAAAATTATTGATGCCTATGCAAAAGTAAAATAATTCTCGATTATAATAAATTTTAGGAATTAAATATATGAATGGAATTGTGCAGCTAGGAGCCAACGTTCCAATACAAAAATTTCATTTGTATATTAATGATATCAAAACTACTATCAGAAACTAATTTTAATATAAGGCAATCGGATATTGAATAGAAAAAAATTTCTATCTATTCTAGCAATTTAATATTTCTTATAGCGGCACATCCGTATATATTATTATCCAGTAACAATTGTACATAAAGTTTCATATCACATTATTGCTGATTGTCAACTTTCCTTATTGTGGTATAAAATCGGAATGTGTTTTCAAAAGCCGATTACGAACTATAAAGCGAATATCACCACAGCCGCGTCAAAATCCCGATTTTAAAAAAAGTATTTCAAAAATAAAATTCTAAAAATGTATGTAAAATGTGTTGGGTATAGTTGTTTAATTGATCTGCGTATGGCACCACTAGCTGCGATGTGCGTGTGCGCAGTGTGTCGCGCGCCGGCACGCGGCACGTACGTGTTATTCGTTCAGTATGCAGGTACGCATCAGTGCATCAACAACTGCGTACGGATCGCAGTTGGAGGCGGGTCGCCGGTCCTCCAAATATCCCTTCTTCTCTTCAGCGACGGCTCGCGGTATTCTGATGCTGCTAGCACGGTTGGCAACACCTAATGAAATAAAAACAAATAAATAAATATTATTCGTATCATACTGGGCACCATATACGGTAAGCAAAAACATCAAATAGAACTTCCCTTATCATATATCATTCAGTTTTTTTTAGAAAATAATGGAAAGGGGAAGAAGACTACAATTTTCCTCCGGCATACACTCAAATCAGACCAAATTGACAACTATCTTCTGTGCAGTCATGGAATTTCACTGGTCATGTCACAAATTGTAACCCAGGGGCGTAGAGACCACGGACCTCCATTCTTCTCGCTCCTCTGCATCCATACATATATGCATTGTTGCTGATTATCTTATTATAAAATATCAACTTACCGGCGCTGAAATCATTAATACTGGCGGTTTCGTGAAGGCCTGTGAGACGACGCTCGTTGTCTTTGCCTCCACGCGGGTCATACACCTTGATGTGCTTCATGTGCACCTTTGACAGCTTGTCTATGGCCTTTTCAATCTCACTGAAATAATAGACATATTAATATAATTTAATAATAATCTCCTATACAAATAGACCTTTAAAATAATATATAAAAGATTGAAAATATTGACAATTTATACTTATTGCAATTATTTATAGTAAAAACTCTTTGAACAACGGTTGACCTAATTATGAAAAGATAGTCTCAAGTGAAGTATGGTATTTAAAAGTAGGCCGTAAGACAGTTTTAGATGCCTTTATCCTTAGTACACAGTTGACCTCAAAAGATGATGTATCAAGAACCTACTTTTTACCTCAACCTTATTTAAAACGAGGTTAAGCAAGATAAGTACATGTAATTACTGATATTTGCATTTATTTTACAATTTACTTTTTAATTGTACAACCATTTGCAATTTTAATAAAACTTCAGAGTTTATCAACATAAGATACATTAAAAAGTAGAATTTAGTTTTTTTTTGCATCACAACTTTTTTGGGACATTGTTTTTGTCATAAATATGTTTTTTACAGGTGTTTCTGATTAAATATCCTTATTTAGTCCATAACATAAGAAATAAAAAGTTAAAATTTACTTACATAATACCATTCTCTTCTCTCATTTTCTTAGTAGAGAAGTTGGTGTGAGCACCAGATCCATTCCAATCCTGCACAGGCTTGGGATCAAATGTAACAATCACACCATACTCCTCAGCCAGTCGGTGCAGGATGTAGCGCGCCATCCACAGATCATCACCTGCGGTCACACCAACAGATGGCCCAACTTGGAATTCCCACTGAGAAGGCATCACTTCAGCGTTAGTGCCACTTATTGGCACACCAGCATACAAGCAGCACCTGAAAATGATTAATTGAATTTTTAGTTAGGTAAATTGTGAGCTATTAAAGTAAATTAACATGGGCTCCTTTTAATACTAAGGGAGAACCTAGACGGGCCTGTCAGTATTTGGTACCTAAACTGGACAAAATTTGTAGCAACATATTGTTAAATTAGCCTATAAAAGTTTTTACTATGATATTTATTTTTGTATTTGCCTATTAGTTGATGATCTTTTACACTATTACATTATAAAGTAAACTAAATATATGCATTCTGTTAAAAATATAAATATAAGACAGACTTACTTATAGTGGGCTTCAACTAAATCCCTTGCGAAGACTTTGTTGGCACCAACACCGCAGTAGTAAGGACCCTGCGGTGGTGGGAAACCGCCCGGGGGCCATCCAAAAGGCCTAAGGTCTGAATCTAACAGGATATACTCCTGTTCAATACCAAACCAAGGCTCATCATCTTTGCACTTTTCATAAGCTTCCTGGCATTTCACACGATGATTGCTCTCTGTAAATTCATGAATAATAAACGATAGTATGCATTGCTGTACTACAAAAGGGAATTAGAACAAAGAGTATGTTAAATAGTCATTTTATGAACAATTGTATAAATTTTACAAAGGGTTTCTACTGTACAATGGCACAGTAACCACTACAATCTGAAATAAGTAATCTGAGATAGCTTTATAAAGGATATATTTTAGCATTGTATATATGTTTAGACTTACCTGTTGGCTCCATGTTGTACTTGTATGTGTCGCACATGACAAGCAGGTGGTTTCCACGACGGAAAGGATCCCGATAGAGGGCACGGGGTACCAGATAAGTGTCTGAATTGTGGCCATCAGCCTGACCGGTTGAACTGCCATCGAAGTTCCACACTGGCAGATCTGTGGATATTCAAATAGCTTCATCTTCATCTCTTACATTGTAAAATCTATCGTTATACGACTCAATGCAACTTTTCATCTTTCTCCTTCTTTTTTATTTTATTTGCCCCATAGTTTTTCGATGATTTTGCTAAAGTTAATGTCAAAATTATAGCCAGCACAATACCTACTTTTTGCATTATAAAAATTTTGTTTTGTTATTTGACAATGCCATATAGCGGGGCGGGAAAAAGGAAGTTGTGCTCGTAGATTATAAAACCTGACAAAGAACAAGTTTTTTACGATAAAACATTTTTTTTCGATATTCCGATAATTTTTTTGTACAAAACATTACACTTTTTTCTTTTATATCGTTTTCTATGACCATGTAGGTTTAATATAGAACCGCGATTGCAGCGCCCCTCTCAATGGTTCAGATATCCTTGTTTGATTATAACACGCGATTGATGCGCTCTATTTCTAGCTCTAGTCTACTTTTTTAGTTCTCACATAGGCTATTTTTTATTGAATATTTACTTACAACTATTAATTGTTCTATTACGAAGTATATCTTAAAATGAAGTAAAGAATCTAACTACATTCATAAAACTATTAAATATGGAACTATGAAACTACTTATTGTCGGAACAAAAATATCGCAACGTATCGTAATCTACACTTCTATGATTGCTGGGAGCATTATTAGCGAAACCTTTGAAGTTCTCATCAAAACTGTCCCTGTTCAGTTTCTGTTCGCAAAGTATGGATGCGTCGGGGCCATCCCGAGGGAAGTAGTGAGGGGACGAGTATTGGTCCACGTAGGACCACTTCAAGTCTCCGATTACTGTTAGTTCATACTTTGAGTACATATTTTCGAGGATCCTTGTTAGATTGTCTACAAATTGAGAAAAAAATATTTTAAATAACTCAAAAAAATATAAAACTAATATTATAATTTTTTTTGAATCCTGATTTAAAATTTAGAATCGTACTTCATAGATCCTAAAACATGTATTGCGTATTAAAAATACTCTTGTTAAGAATTCTGAGACGAATGACATTATTTCCCAAGAGCAGTATGAGAGGTATTTTATATTTTTAGAGCCACTTGCGCAACCTGTGAAGAGCCGTCAGTTTATTACGCGTGTTACAAATCTCCGTTAACCAACCCTGTTTTAATAAACGTAGGCGGCAGATGTACCACATTCTACAAGATTGAGGAAAAAGCAGTTCTTTATCAAGCAACTCATGCCACTTATTTTTTATCTTAAAAGGCATTAGCCGCATGCATTTAATCTCTATTAGAAATTAAATCAGCTGCGACCAAAACTAAATTGATAAGAAATGCCAGGGTTGTCACAAGGATAAAAACTCCATACATAAATAAAGTATCTGGAATAATCCGTAAGTCGCAACGTCATTGGGAGACACTTGCTGTTTTTTAACCCTTATTGTGGCAAGATTTCTTTTTTGAAGAAAAGCAAAAAAACGCAAAAGCAAAAATAAGTTTAATAAAACTAAGTTAAAAATTATTTTATAGTGATCGTATATTTCTATAGAGTTGTATGTATGTATGGTATACTATACAAAATGAACATAAAGGTTTAATAAATACAAAAGTCAAACAATTTTACCCAGCTGTGGATAATATTGGCGTAACTCGACATATAATAAGTTTATAATTAACAGTATTTTTAATTAAATTCCAAAAATGTACACATGCATGACAACCCTGACAAGGCACGTGAAAGTTTTATACGTAAGTGCGCCATAGTTTTAAAAACACGTGGATTTCGTGATCGTACCTGCATTCTTAATTCCCTTATGATGAAAGTCGAACTATTAAGGTACCGACTACACAATGCCGCTTTTAATTCGTCATCAATTATTTAACCAAATCGTACAGACAGTTAAAAACAAAGGAAACATTTCTACGCATTAATGTTCTTAATTCAATTGTTAATTATGATTTACTTTAAATGTACAAACGGGCGTTAGTGTTTTGGCCGATCGGCCCAACGGGAAATACCCGTACAAAGTCTAATAAAGATATTGATTGAAATCATGGAAAGAATTCGTTTTGAACATTAATAAAAGTTGTCGTGTATTCCAAATGGAGTGACACTTGTAAATACAAACATTATTGCTATCTCTGTTATTTCCGAAGTGGATGAGAGCGTTAGCTATATTGTTATACGTATGATACGATGGAGACTTACCGTTACATTTTTTAATTTGTTAACACGTATTTATGTTTCTTGTAGATGAATTAATGAAATTGGCATTGCGCCGTCATTTTAGTGCGATAAATTAAAAGTGTGAATTTGAAATTGCTTCACCTAACCTTTGTTTATTTACGTTGCTCGTCAAATATTAATAAACATGTTTATTACCGGACGTTATATTTGCGATGTAATTAAAAATGGCGCAGTCGGAGGGTCCGCGCATGTGACGCAAATGTTTATTAAATGGAGGTAATATTGAAAACTTTCCATGATTTGTACCAACCCAAATTTTGTACGAACCCAAGTAACTGGAAAACGGATCGTAAAACTCAAATTGTCTCTGATAGTACGTTGCGTATTTAATAGACGTAATAGCTAAACGACGCCTTCATTGTACGTTTTCACTTTATGAATATTTCATAGAAAAGATACGTACACCGATAAAGTTTTTCATAGCAATTGTACATTTTCAGTTACATCAAACAAAAAGTAATGTGGAACGAAAAGTGAACTGTTCAAACACTTATACAGGATGTTGTAATTTGTTCTTTTAGTAACCTGATTTATGTTGTCATATGTTTTAATGACTACTTAAATTTAAAAGTTATTACGCACGAAACTTTTCTTAAAGTATTTATTGTTCATCAATTATATAGCGATTCGCATTAGCATATTTGTAAAAGACATTACTGGGCCTACATACAATAATTTGAAGCTAATTAGTAACGCTTCATTTAATATTAGCATTTAAATAGGCTTAGAGACTAATTTTAAATATTATTGTTTTCGACTACAAAAGAGCAAATTATCGTCAAAAAATCTTTATAATGCTAATTACGTTACGCCTAAATAACTATACTTTAACCTTAGTCATTAGACTTAAATGTCTGTTTTGAATTTTGAAGTTTAAAAAATACAAAAATCAGTATAATCTGCAGCAACATATCACTTCTGCAGAAATAGCCCGCTCGACCAGTGCAATACTACGACTACATAGAGGACAAAGGCTTCAAATTATTAAACCTTTCGCACCATTGTTAAAAGGCAAAGATTAGTTGCACTCGACGCACTTGTTTAACAGGGGAAATATCTTTTCTGTACATCCCTATCTACGTAATCAACATATCTGCAACCTTTAAACCTTTTGCATATGCTGGGTACTCGTTTGCCATGTACTATTATTATAAAAAAATCTGTACTCACCTTTGGGTCGTTTTGGGATGAAGCTTAGGGTGCGATCTTTGCATCGCAAGTGCTCCCCTGTGCCGTCTATCCAGATGTAAGTTGCAAGCACCTTGTCCCCGGGAAGAGGGAGGTCATTGTACCTGCCCAGCAGGGACTTTGACAGGACCGCATTCGGAGAGTTGGTGAGCACAGGGCCCGAGAGGATTTTCGGATTATCTGGAAAAAATACATTAATTATAGGATCATTCATTAATGATAGGCATTTCTTTTTGTGTTGTTTCGTTACGTGGTTCTATATTAATGGTTTAAGGATGATTTTAGAGATTTCCTGATTACTTGTTTAAAGAATTAAGCCAAAATATTTAGTTTTATAAGACCTTGTGCGCCGAACCCACGTGAATGATATAAGGCCAGGAAGATGACTGCCTAGTTTTTTAAGTAGTTCGTTAGTTGGGATTTGTTTTACTACAACTATTCCAAAGGTGGCCCTTAGTGGCCATTACACCACCCTGGGTTCGCAATTATTTAAGTAGACTAATATTAATATTGTAGACTGTATTGACTCATGAGCCGAACCGTGATAAAAACAGATGTACAATATTTTATTTACAATCCGGTGCGGAGTGATATCGTAATTGCTCTTGCGTACAGAAATACCAATGCAGTTGGGAACAATGGCCGTGAGTTGGCGCGCTCGTCAAATGTCAAAAGTGGAAATGATCGGATACTATGCCGCGAGTCAATGAAATATGAATGACATTTATTGTGCGAGTATAATAGACAGATTGTGAATTTATAGCATTGTTTGCAACAAATAGTTTAATATAATAGATGCATAAAATATTTAGGTATAAATTACGAAGGTTTTGAACCCTTTTACTGTAATTGTGTGACATTTTTTGATGACGATTTTGTTAGTTTTCCAATTTTAATAAAAGATTTACTTTGATCAAAAATGTGTGATAAGTCGTAGGTGGAATAAGCTATCATATTCTAGATACGTGATTAAGTACAGCTATTGTTAGTGAAGCTACAGTTCTAGCTTAGTAAACATCTATTGTCATGTTTTCAGTGCTATGAAATTTGATCTTGACAATGCATGGGAAACATGTCCGACTTCAACCGAAATGTCTATTTTGATATTCCATAGCAAACGTTAAATGTTACTAATAATTATAAACGAGAATGTTTGGATGGATGTTTGTTAGAAATTATCTAGAGAACGACTGCATGGATCACGCTGAAATTTGGCATAGATGTAGCCTGGAAGAACACATAGTCTACTAATTATTATTTTTTTAATTACACACGATCGGAGTTACGGGCGATCGCTAGTATTTTTTATATACAATATAACTATTTATAATTATAAACCATTAAATTTAGTACAAATATACGTTAGCAAGTACGAAGAGATTGTAACTAGTCGGCCTTGCAATTGACCCAAAGTTTACGTGCTATATTGAAATTCGAATTACTACCACCAATGAGCAATCATTAAATTATAATTAAAAATTATATTATTAAAGTAGTCCTATCATTAAATTATAATGAAAAATATATCATTACCGTTGAATCATTAGCGGTACTAAATTGCTTGTATTTATATATGACTGTAGATTTCAATTATTTAACAAGTAAGGACAACGCTTCACCATGGTTCATGTTTCGTTTGCTTGAGCGTTATATCGTTTAAATTAATTATATTAATATTATAGTTTCAGCTGTGTGGACTTAAATTAAAATATATATTAGCAAACCTTTAAATCCAACAGAACGTTTTCCTTTCATTGAAAGTGTTATTTACTAAAATAGTATGTGATAAACTCCATAAACAATACTGACATATTCATAAAAACATATTGTTATTTATCTCACACCGTGAATCAAGTTTAAAACAAACAAAAAATTTCGATAGGCATCGAAAATAAATCACAACGAAATATCGCGGCAATATATATTTAATGTTGAAATGTCAATGACATATTGACAGTTTATTTTTTATTTCAACAATTTACAAAGGCTTTATTGCGTAAGTCCAAAAGTTAAAATTATAAATGTAATCATTTTTATTTACTTTAAAGTGATAACACACGGCTCTCAGATCCATGATTTTTTAAGGTTTTTCAACCTAGGTTAGATAAATGTTTATAAGATTTACTGAATTACAAATTACTACATTAATACCAACTTACCTTCAATTTTTCCGTGGCCCGCGTCAGACATTATTGCGACTATAGTTAGGTCCTGCAACAAAGATAAAATTGCAAAATTAGTATATATAAAATAACTTACTTTTTGTCCAAAAAAAAATTACATAATAAAATAATGTAAGAGGTACAAAACATAAGTCTTTAAGTTATAATATTCAACGCTTAAAACAATCAAACTAACCAATATAATAGTATAATAATATAATAAACAGAACTGAAAGTTTATATTGCAGCAAAATGCGCTCGCATTGCAACAACAGCGAAAGTGAGTAATAATTGATCAAAACAGCGAATCGTCTATAAAAACATTGATACTCTATTCACAGAGTATATACTCAGACAGTATGGAAGATCAATTGATTTTATTATACAGTTCTTGTGTTCTCTTGTGCAACCTAGTTGGGTTGCCGGTAAAGTCCCGCCAATCGACTATTATCGTAACCAATATTCAAGCACAAGCCAGGTTACAAGAAATATTAGTAAACAAACTCATTTACTAATAATTTTAGCATGAAACTTCATTTGTTTTAACTGATCATTTATTTAATTTTGTCTTTACGTGTATGTAAAACCAGGCGTTAACCGTCGGACATAATATTTCCGAAAGCTGGTAGCCTCAAGCAAACCGGACTTCGATAAATGTTTCGAGGACGACGCGTTTTTATGCATCAAATTAATGAACAAAACAGAGAAATATATTTTATACAAACTATGAATGAACTTCAAACTTACGACATTTTATATTTGTTTGTGTTATTTATTTTGCGTTTGTCGCGTGACTTTGAAATTATCGTATACAATAAGGAAAAAATCATGACAATGACCTAAAATTCCTTGTATGAAACGCATTGACCCTTTCAGATATCCACAAAACAGTACGACTACATGTGTGATTACATGGATTCTCTGTTCAAAGGAAATAAAAGTACATTTCTGTCAGAATGAGACAAGGCGAAGTAACTCAGTTCTTTTATGTCGTAAAGCTCTTTATAAGTCTACGAACTTTCAATCAATCATCATTACAGGTCATTTAGTTAGTAAGTACGTAGCTATTTCAAGACACTGGTTCAATACTGGACAATACTTATAATATTTTATTTAATAAATTTAAAAAACATATTCTGCCAGTAATTAACTATATACGTTTTCGCTACGGGAATAATTTTACATGCCAATAATTTTATTTTCGTAATTAATAATTAATTTAACTCCCAATAATATTATTCGATTTGTTTAATCAAGACAGGTAAATATTTCAAATATGTTTTAAATACTAGTTCTATGTATATTTATGTATCATCCTTGACATTTCGAAAAGAATCTATTGTAAAAATGTTTATAGCTATATGTGGGTCAGGTTAACAAACGAATACATACAAATTAATATCCTTATGTTTTTTATATATAAAAAAAAACTTTAGTAGTGTAGCCCACCCATCCATCAATCCACATCACATCTATCTAAACATTCGCATTTATAATATTAGTAAGTTAAATAAAAAGCAGCTCTTCAAGGCATAAATTTGAAAAATAAAAAAAATTAATAAATAGTATCCTATAGTAGTCCGTCTCCTGGCTATAAGCTACCTCCTCAGCAATTTTCAGCCATATCGGTAAGGCCGTTCTTGAGTTATAAATAGTGTAACTAACACGACTATCTTTTATATATATAGATTTCACTCCTTCCAATGGCATTAATAATCAAGGAAATATGTTTCCGATTACATGTGTATACCGGATAGTATTGTTTAGTGAGGCCCTCTCCCAGCTTAGTCTTGTCCAAATTTGTCATTCGATTGATATTCTTCCCTGGAACGTCGGAATATTTTTTTGTTAAAATGTATAGAATATCTGTCGCCCGCGTCTAAGTCCTAGCGGGATTAAAAAATAGATAGTAGCCGATTCCCAGATCTACTGAATATATAAAATTTCATAAAATTGATCAATCCGTCAATTCTTGCCGACAATGCTTAGTTACATTGTGAAAATTTGTGGAAGCTTTCAACTTTATTGCCTCATTCAATTCTCTTAGCATCGACACTATCCCCCCTACCCCCTACTTAAGAGTTTACTAACAAGCTTTTGCTCTCTAATTAACAAAGAAGCTTTACGTGAAACAAGTTGATGGTAGACATTTTCATTGTTTAAAATTCTTAATTACATTGTAAAAAACCCTTTGATGTCTAATTTTTTTTAATACTTTAACATTTTAGTTTTTGCCCACGACTTAATCTTCGCGAAATAAAAAAAAAAACAGAATGAATAATTGTATAATAGTATATGTTATTTGAGACTATGTTCTATAACTGTGTCAAATTTTAATTTAATTATTTTATTAACGTTTAGAATTATTGAGTAAATATGTAAATCAAACGTATCATACATCCTATGTGTTCCTATATCTATTTGTCCTTCCACACTGTTCTAACGTTGTCCACCTGTTCACCGTTCTGGAAATCTCCTAGTAACAAATATTCGTGTTTATATTATTAATAAGATTATTTAATAGTAAAACTTTTGATGTCTTTTTGTCTTATCTATTTAGTTTCTTATATGTTAGTAACAGGACAGACAAAATAACATGTTTTATTCGTTTATATTATCTTGTTAAATATACAAATCGACTCAGATAAACTGTTGTTGACTGATAACGGAATGCTTTCAGCAACAAAAAAGCGATGACAATTATCATGTTTATATAATAGATAATATTATTACATTTTTCTATTGTCGTTGCTATGGAAACTAATTGTAAAAAAACTTCACTAACTATTAAGGTATAAGTAATATAGTTCGACAAAAATATCTGACCCGATGTGAGAGGCGCAACTTTTGCAATTCTTTCTTTCGGACATTACGCAAAATATGCAAAAAATATTGCTTAAATTAAAATATGACAAGATAGGTAATTATAGTATGAGAAGAGTTATTTAAAAAAAAAATTATTAACAGGGTGGCGCTAATGAACTACTGTAACATACTAACTTGGTGACATATGTTTGTCGGTCTATACTTAATAGAATATTAATAAATTAAATGGTAAAACTTGATTCATAGTAACTGAAGATTATTCCCTCTTGGTAAATTGTAAAGCAAACCTTTTGTAACATAATAACGTTTACTTTTGATGTCTTTGAGTTACATTTTAACTTTCAAAGGAATCTAGTCAAAGCGTTTGCTCCTTTGAAAAAGGCTTTGATTACTGACGAAATTCGAACCGTGAGAAAATGGTTGAATGTACATTTTGCCTTTTCTTATTTCTACTTGAGAGAATTTCATTGAATTGCTAGACAGATTTTGTATCAACCCTAAGAAATAAATGCTTGAAGATTATATAATATTCATTTACATATTTATTATATCGTATCGATTAACGCGTTAAAGAAATATAATTCAGTTGTTTTTTTTAATAAATTCAATAAAACCATCGTAAATATTTTCAATTATGAAATTGCCTTTAAATATTTTTTTATCTAGCTTACAAATCGAATCTGAGACTAGCGCCATAAAGGCTGCGTATGCATTGCATTGCGTTTAAAGGTGACTAAGAGAGGTTTTAATAAATTAAAAAAAAAACTTCCTCGTATTTGTAATGAATAGATCGGCCACATTACAAACAGGAAGAGGCCTCGGAGCGGTCGCGTGTTCAGAATTTACTCGCGGTCTCTACTATACTACTTTGGGCGAAGTGCCAATCGATCTCAGCCATACATTGACCACGTTTCGTGTCAAGAGCAATTTCCACTAGCCTAATACGTTTCTGCAGACGTATACTGCAGTACTCAGCTGATGCCAGAAAACAAACGGATTGTATGTACACTTACGTAAAAAATTGTAACAAATTTTATGGATCTAAACGCTAAGAAGTCAAGGTCATCTATTAAAGTTACATTTCGACGCTTCAGTAGTACTCTGTCGTGGAAAGTGTGGCTATGTTTGGAATCTACATATGTTATAATAATAGTTCGACTAGTGTACGTTGATAAATTAATACGTTGAGATCGGGCCAAATTAACCGTGTATTCTTTTTATCGTTGTGTACAGATTATACAAACTTCTCAATATGAAATTACTAGATTTTTTTTTAATCATAAGGTGGCAAACGAGCGACCGGCCACCTAAAATCGCTGAAATAGCGAAGTGACCGTTGCCCATAGACGTACGCAATTACATATGCGTTGTCTACCGTAAATCGACAGAGGATAGGATGCACAGAAAGAAAATATTTTCCCTTCCCATGCATCCTCTCATCCGGAAAGTCCACTTCCACTTCGCATGCTTTCCTTGTAAGAAAGAGGGTGGGAAGGGAAAGATGACTAAATTGGGCATCCGGGACGCAATATATTATTAGAGCCCATTACTGCAGAAACTCACTGCCGTTGTCTTTGTGGTTAATAAATATATATTGTCATCCATTTCATTCCCTTTGATAAAACAGGGACTAAATTAATGCAAATGTCATGATGGTATTTTCAATATCAAACTTCGCTTTGGTGCGGTTTCGGTTTGCATTCGCGGTAGTGTGTTACGGATTTAATAGATTTAGAATCGGAATGCAAAGAGAAGTTATATACCGGAGGTATCTGTTTTATATCGTCTAAAATAAAAATAAATCAACGTTTGGCAAATCGAATAAAATTGAATATGACTAGTCTAAACTGAAATCAATTTGTTAAATATTAAATTTGACGTGAAGACGACAACTTTGAAATAATAAAGTTCTTCGCTAAAGATAAAAAACTCAAGTAAAAATAATTGTTCCTTTTAAAGAATACATTTTCGTATAAAAAAGATGTTAAGGTTTTAACTGATTAAAATATAAAGCAGTCTGATTACGTTCTATTTAGGTCATGAGGTTAATAGTACGAAGAAACTATAATTAACTTAGAACGCGATGAAAACAAAGCTATGATTAAGTCTTCAAATACAACAATAAGGAAAGAGACCTATTTTAAACGAATAAAAATTATATTGTTGTAAAAATACTGTGTCGTTTATAAAAATATCAATTGATTTCAATCTAGTAACGATTAT